GCCCATGCTGTGCATCGAGGTGAGCCCAACTGCATCTGGTTGGTACCTCTCAAGCTCAGACTCCTTTCCCACTGGAGAGGTTATGTTCCATGTCCAAAGAGCCAGCTTTTGTAAGCCAGGGTTATCCAAGGCCCCTGACTTGGGTCGCTGCCCATGCACCTGACTTGTATGGCCCCTCCTGCAGGTGGTGGGCTCACATGAAGGCAAATCCATGTAGCTCGTTTGGTCTGAGCCCAACCAGATCCCATGGGCAGAGATCCAGTCACCAGGTGCTCACCAACAAGCCCCTCCCCCAGACCTGGCTCCAAGGTGGGGTCACAGTAAACCATGTACGGGCAAGGGACACTGAGCTCCTTGAGTTTTCCTGTCCATAAGAGTCGTCGGTATCACTCTTGCCAGGTTTGTCACTTAGGACCAATCTGCCTTGGGAGACTCTACCACGACCAATTACAACTGCCCCCGACCTCATGCAGGTGCACAAACTCTTCCACCACAACAAGGTGGCGATTCAAGGAGGAGAAGTGTTACATTCTATATTAAAATGGCCTAAGGTGCAGTCTAAACCGTAAAGCAAATAAAACATCTGTACCTCATGTCTTACTTTATAAACTCAGCCATTAGGGAAGTAATTAAAAGGTGGTAATGATGGATTTTCTTGATGTGTGAACGAAATGTGTAAATTACTCTCGCTTGACAGACCTAATTAGCACTCGTGTGTTGTATCAGCTTCCTTAATAGACTTTATTTAGTGTGGGGTGTGAATTATAATATTAGTTAAATGGCTCAGATATTTTTTTTTAAATCTAGTTTAATTAAACACTATTTCCAGTTTTTAGGAAATAGCCTCTTTGTAGTATTTACATCTCTTACGTCTCTGAAAAAAATAGCTGAAACATTACAAATACCCTTAAAAGAAATAAAGGGTTTAGAACTGATGTCGGTTGGTTTTTAGACAGACTGACGTTTTTCTGCTCTTCTTGGTACACTACATAATATGAAATAGTTGCAGCATCTTTATATTCACAGACAGCCTCATATGACTGACAACCTATTTAAAATGTCGTGTGTGCAGATTTACTAAAGCTTCATTTACATTTTTCATTATTTGAAAAAAAAAATCTGCTTTATAAAATTATTTCATGTTAATCCTTTTTTTTTTCAGAATTAATGAGTGATTTTCAGATTTCAATTTTGCCTCGCAAAGGGATCCTGAATGTAAAATAAATCATACATTTAAATTAAAATGACAGAGAAATGATTATTTGTTTGTACACATTAAATTTATATTAAAATAGCATACCTTCTATTCGAAATAAAAACAACAAATCATTTTATTATACTTATATTTTATTAATTTCACTGCACATGTTCAGGGAAACACATGTCAATATGAACTTGTTACATGAATATCTATTGCACTATAGATATTTTGTCGTTTAAAAATACATGTCGTGAAATGGTTTTCAACTGGCATGGCACCAAGAGGGTATAAATAAAACTTTTTTTGTCCGTTTATAATAGAGTTTGGCACGTTGCTATTAAAATGCGATAATATCAATACACAAAATCATGGGCACACATCATAAACAGTACTTGACACTCATAAACCCCACGGGAAACAAAGAAGCAGTCCGCCTCAGATGACTTTGATTAATTTACAACTGATAACATGATCCACTCATATGGATTTCTGATGGGAAATCTGCAGCCTTTAGCCTTTGCTGAACTGGCTGACAACGACAGATGTGAGTGAGCGATAAATGGATTTGGGTTAAGCAGATGAATGGTTGTTCATATCAAAAGAAGGACTTGGATGGACTGAGGATGATTACAGACAAAAAACGTGGTGCTAGTGCAGTTAATAAAACATCCTTTAATGTAGGATAAAATAGTTAAAATGCAGAATGATGGGCTGGTCTCAACTGGCTCACTCCCTCAAGGTGTTTTTGTTTATTATAACCGTCTTTATCTATAGTCACATCAACACATCCTGCACTTTGCAGATATACTTACAGAACATAGAGGATATCTGTAAAAATGCCTCAAACACATGTTAGTTGAATTAATTTACTGCCAAACACTTTGGGCATGGTGGAGGGAAAGCAGCCACTTTTAAAGGTTTAGCAGCTTATCTGTAAGTTTGTGTGAATTTCCCACAGAAAAAGATAAAAAAAACACAAAAGGCATGTTAGACCTACACGTTTGTGGTGTTGGCTGTAAGAAAGACAGATGTAACACAAGTGCTCAGGATTTGTCAGACAAATGATATTCGTGAACAGGATTAAGGGGTTTTGCATATGAGCATAAAATGATCAGAAAGCACCAGGTTAATGAGGCTTAAAAAAGTTTAAAAAAAACCAAACTATTATTTTATAGTAAACCAAGCAGCCACACAAAACCAAGCAAAGCAGGAGACATGGCTGTGTCACAGTTTTCACAGTGGAGAACACGCTCGCTGTCTGTATTCCTTAACTACGGTGGCCAGAAGGTGGATATGAACAACATGTGAAAAAACAGAATTACATTTCAAAAAACGCAGCCAAAACAATAAAAACACATAAACAGTTGAAAAAAATAGAATTACACTTGGGAAAAAATAAAAATAAAAATGGAATTACATTTGAAAAAAACAGAAATACAATTGAAAACAACAGAATTACATTAGGCAAAAGCAGAAGTGGCTGAAGTGGAAGTGGCCGGAATCACATAAAAAAAAAATGGAATTACTTTTGGAAAAAAAAAAACAGAATTACATTAAACCAAAGTGGAAGTGGCCAAAGCGGAAGTGGCCAAAGCGGAAGTGACCGGAATCACATTTGAAAAAACAGAATTACATTTGAAAAACAAAATTAAATTTGAAAAAATGAAATTACATTTGAAAAAACAAAACTACATTAAGCAAAATCAGAAGTGGTGGTGTTTGTTTATTGTTATTTATTTATTACGTTTTAATTTTTTTTCCAAATGTAATTTTGTTTTTTTCAAATGTAATTTTGTTTTTTTCAAATGTAATTCCAGCCACTTCCGCTTGGGCTTTATGTAATTCTGTTTTTTTTTTTTTTTTTATACCTTTTTTTTTTTTTCACATGTGATTCTGGTCAATTCCATTTCGGCTACTTCCGCTTTGGCCACTTCCGTTTTGGCCACTTCCGCTTTGGCCACTTCCGCTTTGGCCACTTCTGCTTTGGCTTAATGTAATTCTGTTTTTTCAAATGTAATTCCATTTTATTTTTTCAAATGTAATTCTGTTTTTCAAATGTTGTTGTGTTTTAGTTGTGTTATTTTTAATGTAATTATTATTATTTTTTAAATGTTGTTCATTTACACCTTACGGCCACCGTACCTAACAGTATTACATCATATCTTTAATACAAAACTCGTCACCTTCATTGTCTAATTAACTATTGATGACATTTCTACCACAGTGGAACCATCTTAACCAGTTTTATGTACCATTAGTGAATGATAATTTTCAAAGCGCTGGAGGACGTATCAATCCAATGCATCACCAAACAAAGCTGCTTCTCGAGTCAGCTGATCAATATTAATGAGGTTTCGTCCAGGTTTTTGGTGTTCAAGGACCGAACTAATTTTTTCACGTGTTTTTAATGTTTAACTCTGATCTGTCTGCTTCCTCATTTCTTTGCTCAGGGACTTAAAAAACAAGTTCAAAGGATGATGCTGAAGATGTTTGCAGAGCGAAGTTTAATCCTAAACCCATTGATCTGTGAGCTGTCAGTGCTGCTGTGCATCACTGATTAACAGCCGGAATCTGAACTCTTTACAGTCTTTTAAAAAGCATTTAACTCTGTCAAAAAGACTCACAGGTCTTGGCTTAAGTATCATATTGGAATCTTTCCAACAGGTTTCACAGCATAAAGATAAAAGGTATAAAAAAAGTTTTGTTTATTTGTTCACAGCAAAGCAGGCAACGGTCAGACATCACACAGAAGCTATGGCATTAAATAATGAATCATCAAGACAATATTTTACATATGTAGGCAGCAATGGTAGAAATTAGCATTTGGAGCAACAAAACGTTCAGAACATACGTTTCCAAACTAAGTACAAGCTTTTGTAAACTAAGCACAAGCCTTTTTTTCCTCCTAGTAAACTAATACAACTTTACTGCGTAAAATACGAATAAAAACAGAATGCAATGATCTGCATGTAAGCCCACAAATGAAACTTAGAAAACATATCAAATGCTAAAACTATTTTTTTTAATAATAAAGATTTGATCGATTTGTACAGTGGTGTTGAACTTTGTGGCAGCAACACATTTCCAAAAGGTTGAATAAATAAATGGGTGGAATAAGAAAAAGCTGAAGGAGTGTTTTGCAACTAATAAAGCCAAATGACAGCAGGTTAGTAAGAGGACTGCGTATAAAATGAACATTTTAAAGAGGATGACTCTCTCAGAAGTAACGGTGGGCAGAGGTTTACTTGTCTGCAATAAACTGTGTTTAAAGTGATAGAATGATTTCAGAAATATGGTTCTCAATAGAAAATTGGGAGGAATTGAATATCCCATCATCTCAGTTCATGATATCATCAGAAGTGTTGAAGGATCTACAATCAAAGGACAAGGCTGAGCGTCTAAATTAAATGTCCAGGATTGTTGGGCCTTCAGGCAGCACTCCATTAACAACAGATATTCCATTCTGAACATTAGATGAGCTCAGAAACACTTCCACGGATCGTTGTCTGTCGACCGAATGATGTTTAAAGCTTTTTCATGATAAGAGGAAGCCATAATGCTGTTGTCTTCTCTGCACTAAAGCTTGTTTAAAATGAACTGAAGCAAATGACTAAACTTTTCTGTGGTGAAATCTTGTGAGAAACTACCAAAACCACGTTCGTTGTATTAAAGAAGAGCCGGACTATCCAGTCTAAATCAGTGCACAGTGTAAAAACATGCATATCTAATCATCAACTTTTTTTTAATGCATTGCTGCCTTCAAATTTAAATTGACCTATTTTATTCCCCAAAATATGATAAAATGTCTTAGTTGCAGTCTTTGCTATGTTTACTATATACTGTGGATAAAATTAGTTTAAGAATTTTGGAGATCATCACAGTTTGTTGTTATTTACATTTTACACAATACCCCAATCTTTATTGTATTAGGGTTGAATCTTTTTCTGCCCCTGTGTTTGTCTAAAGTTTTAGTTTATCAAAATGGCTATAAGACCTTGTTCACAACTTTAGGCAATCAACATGGTTTGGTTTGAAGCACACGCAGCTGCTCACTGTAGTTCCTTGAAATAACACTGTATAATCAAAGGATTACAGATTCTGAGAGCAGGAAAGACGTGAAAAAAACGGACAAAGCTGTGAACAAGGTGCAATAATTATGTCCGATACCATCTGCTGTAAAGATAAAATAAACCGCCTTGTTTGAGAAGGAGGTGCTGAGACACAGTGATGTTCGAGGATGAGCTATTGCCCATCTTCCTACTTCCTGTCAAAAAAGCTGACACTTCCTCCCAGCCACGTTGTTTAGACTCGGCTGCATTAATTACTGCGCAAACCGAGCCCGCAGTATTCTGCCTCGACTGCAAAATTGTGCTTAGGAGTCTATGTCCCAGAAGTTTTAAGGCTTTTGAAAATCTCAATACCAGACATTATCCTAGATGCTAGTGAGCTATGTTGATGTATAACACGATGAATGAATACATGTAGGAGCATTATTAAAGGCTTACATATCCACAAATAAGCACAATCAAGTCAGTTTCAAAATATATAGAGAAATGTTAAAAGAATTGGCCTGGTATTGGTGTTTCTTTTTTGCCCAACTCATCAGATATGTTTGTCTTTTTTTTTTTTTTGTCAGAGAGGAAAGGTTCGCAAAGCACCTAATTATGGTTGAATCAAATTTGAACTTGCAAGACATGAGAGTTTGAGGCCAGTAAGTCTTAGTCACTTTAGTTTAAATGCTAATGGATGATTTTTACAGTTCTGCTCTTATTAAGACAGCTCCGGCCGTAGATATGTTCTGTGCTAAAAATATAGATTTTTACTCCCCTATTCAATGGTGTTTTCTAAAATCTTTTTTTTTGTCCTACAAAGCTAACCCCCCAACAAAGAAGAAAAGTCAATTGTCAGAGCACAACCCAACCATAGATGTGTATGCAATGCAAACCTTGCCTCCTCAGATTGGCTCCTGGCCTATCCTTTCAGTGAGAGCCAATAAAAATGAGGAGTTAGCGTTAGTGCTAGCTGTGGTTAATGGAGCCAAAGAGTCGCCATGGCGAGCAGAACCGAAAGCCCTAAGTTGGAAGCAACGGAGGCAGATAGAAGCCGGCCATCGTTTACCAGCCTGAAGGAAATCACCTCAACTTTGAACCCATCTTCAGTGGCCATGCAGCGAAAAACACCTTCCTTCAAGGGTGTGTTCACCACCGGCCCCAGGACACAGAAGTCTCCAGAGAAGAGGCAGGGGTAGTTCTTGATGCAGTTGTCCTTCTCCCAGCGGTAGGTGGCGTGGAAAGAGTGCACAGGGCAGGGGAGGAACACCGTCGTGTTTCTCCCCTTCACCAAAACTTCTCGGGGAGAAGTTCGACGTTGCTTTAGAGCTACATGGAAAAAAAGAAATGAAGCAATTGCTTAGTCAAGTGCATTTTTCATTTGCTGCTACACACAGTAAATAGTTTTGTAGATTGTTATGAAGGTAATACCAAGGTGACAAAAAGAGAAAGTAACCACCTGAGGGACAAAGGTGTTCATAGATTTACAGTCCCTGAAGTCTCTAAATTCATCATGCGTGATGTTGGTTTATAGTTATTTGGTCAATTGTAAATTTGTCTGGGAATATAAAGCACTAAAGCCCAATCTCAATTTGAATAAGATAACTCAGAAGCAGATTCTATAAAACTACCTGTCTCGTGCAGAACTACTTTGTGAGGCAGTCAATATGAGCTGAATGAGAAGGTTTGCATTGTGGCCCCCTGGTGGGTTCATCCACTCATAATCTTTGCAAAGGAAAAAAACAATTTGGATAATTAGATTTGAGTCCCATGCTTATCTGATGCGAAAACAGGCGTGCTAAACCCACTGTGGAGGAAAAAAAAACATGCACTACAGCCTAATGTATTGGGCATTGGGCTTTTTTAACAAATCAAGGAACAATACATTTTCATAACATAAGTAATATGCAATCCCCACATGATGCTGGATTATGGAAAATAAAAACATTGTCTGGCAAAGTGGCAAACATGTTTTTGATTGTGTCTGTGTCTGCAGAGTTAGCAAAATATCTCCTGAACCACTAGACAGATTGTATTGTAACAGAAAAAATAAAAAATAAATAAGTACATCTACAACTGTTCAATCTTTTAAGTCAACCATATTCAAGATGACTGCCACAGCTACCTTAACAAACAGATTCAGGGACACCCCCCCCCCCCCCCAATAATCTTCATGTTTATTAAATAATTTTCTTCAGTTTGTCTCTTTAATGCAATTAAAATATTTGTGTAACATTAATACTTAAGACCTGCTTTTATACAGTGTTAATACAATTTTTGTCATTTTAAACATGGGGTATTTTTCGTTCCAGACACAATTAAAAAGAAGGATTAGAAAAATGGTTTATAACTCCATCAGTTTTACAGACATTGAGTTAAATTTTAAGTATTAGAAGCTGAGATTCATTTTTATTACCATATGTTTTGGCCTATAAGTCACAGTTTTTTTGTATAATTTACATGTCCTGCAACTTATTTATGTTTTTTTCCATATTTATAAAAATATTTTGACTGCGATATGATCGTTTTCATTCATTCTGACATTGAAAATATTGAACACTACCATTTTCAGCCGCTAGATGGCAGTCGAGTATTATGGCATGCCATGGTGTCATGTAATAGGTAAAAGTGGCTATTAATGACACAATCGGCTTGCCATAGCCTCCCACATTTGTCCAGCTCGCCTGGAGCAACCGTCAAATTAGTTTCATTTCGCTGCGCCGTCCTGGCGAAATGCAGCGAATTTGACCATTGAAGTGCATTTATTAAGTAAAAGGACAACTGAGACACACCTTTACTATAAAGTCAAGAAAACAAATCGTTTTTAGGTGGTTATCTTGTTAAATTTCCAAGAAATGTACAGCAAGTCGTCCCTCTGCGCGCTCCCGCAAATCTATATTTGAAATGCAGCTGATTTGTCCGTCAAAGTGCATTTATTAAGGAAAAGTTAGAGTGAGACACACCATTACTATAATTTCAAGCGAACAAATAATTGCTTTTAAGTGTTAATTTAGTTAAATTCTTGTTAAAGTCCTCCCGTGCATGCTCCCGTGGCCGCCATTTCGCAGCCAATCGATTTTTGGCACAACACCGGCCCACATTTCCGGGTGGTCAGTGGTGACGCATAACAAATGTGATGCATCAGTGGTGAAGCATAATAGATGCAACTTGTACGTCGCTTTACGGCGAAGCAACATATATATATATTTTTTTTTTTTTTCCCCACTTTATTAGATATATTTGGACTGATGCAACTTATAGAGTGGTGCAACGTGTACGGCGGAAAATACTGCAAATTATTTTAGCACTAACATCTCACAAGGATAATATTGCACAAGATTGCATAATTTCCAAGTTTGGACCAAAGCTGCTATAACTCTGCCCCTTTTCAAAGTTTTTTTGTGTGATTTGTTGCATAAACAGAATACATAATTATATAAAAAGTTAGATTATAATCTCATTAAAATCTATTTGGTTTTACATATTTGCAGTCATATTATTCCTTTGCTCAAAGAAATCAGTTCAAACATTAAAACACTTGGCTTCACAACCTGTTTAAGCATTGATTAGTAATAAACAACACCCATATCCTGATGTGAGTACATGTTGTGCAGGGACACGGCTGAAAATAAAGGCAGTGTCATACATCATATCACTTCAGCTGTTTGTCATGATTCGTAAGGTTAGAACCGAGCTTTGAGCTCTGAACGAGGACAAGGAATGAAACAATAATGCATTTTCTCTGTGGGGCTCTGCTCAATTATATGATAATCATCTCTTTTGCTATAGTTGCACAGAAATGTTTCCATTTTGCATTAATTAAGATACAGAGAGTGTGGGAGAGAGCAGATGAGGGCTCACCAGCAGCTTCCCCGCAGATGGAGGAGTTTGAATCATCAAGATTCTGAATAAGTGTTCTGTAAGTGGAAAAGAAGAGCGAGAGAAAAATTAGTAGCATAGAGTTATTTCACAAACGAGTAATGAGCTTTTAAATAAAGCCTCTTTTCTTACATGAAAAAGAAGACACATTTCACCATTATGGTGAAAAAAGGAGAAAAAATCTAAAAGCTTGGTCTAAATCTTGGCTTCTTTTTTTTTGTCTTTGAAAACTAGAAATACATAAACCCAAATACAAACAAGCAAAATATTAAGTTTGATGATAATCACATTATTTTAGGCGTTTGGAGCACATATTCACCGAGCAGTAGAAAATTTGGTTGGGCGTATAAGCGAGTTTTATCTGATGCTCTCAATAACTTGTTTTCATAAAGAAGCGCTGGTTCTTGCTCCTGATTGGTTCATGTACAAACAGCTGACAGCTCTGCTGCAGTGATGTCACGTCTGAGCTTACCCAGACGTGACGTTGTATCCAGGCGGGATGGAGATGCACTTCCTCCTGGCCTTGTCCCAGCTGCAGTATGGATCCCGGGAAAGGATGCACTCCCTGCATGTGTTGCCATAGCGATTGCAGTCAGCCAGTGGCAATCGCTGGACTTCCATGGCTGTACCAACATACAGATGCCCCTAAGAAAGAAACATATATAATACATTATTGAAATGTTGACCCTTTTGCACAAGCACAGCTAAAATTGATCAAATATGTTGTTGTTTTTTTGTTCAAATTGGAGCAAAATAAAACCCTCTTATGACAAACAGAAGATAAAAAGTTATTGATTTTAGCTGCACAAAACTTCAAATCTGACCTTGAGTGAGTCATAAATTTAAACACAATGTGAAAAATATTCTCTTGGGTAAATAAAAACGTTAAATTAATTTTGCATAACTTCCAAGTTCTCTATATAACAGTGGTACAGAATACAACAAATAGCCTGGCACTTTATGCACTGCGCTCTATGACTCAAAGTCACTGTGCACAGAAAGTCAGAGTCAGAGTCAGAGTTTCTTTATTGTCATTCGCACCTCATGTGGTACATGTGGTGGAGCGAAATTATGTACACGGGGTCCCAGTTACGTCCAACAATAAAATGTATAAGAAAAACAGTAATAACATCTAAGATATGAACTAAGAAAAACATCAACTAAATATACACTAAGCACTCATAACATAAAACATTGAACATCAGCACAAAAATGAACATGAGTCTGTGAGCAGATGTGCACGCATGAACACATCAACATTGAAACAGATCAGCAGCAACATGAAACAGATCAGCAGCAACATGATATGGTTTTTCACAGTGATTATTCTAGTTAGAGATTCATGAGTCTAACAGCCTCAGGGTAGAAGCTGTTCCTCAGTCTAGTGGTTCTACATTTAATGCTCCTTAACCTCCTTCCTGAGGGGAGTGGGGCAAAAAGTGTGTGTGCTGGGTGAGTGGGGTCCTTCATGATGCAGGTGGCCCTCTTCCTGCATCTGGAGGTGTAAATGTCTGTGATGGTGGGGAGGCTGATTCCAACAGATTTATGTGCAGCCTTCACCACTCTCTGCAAAGCTTTTCTTTCTGCAGCTGTGCAGCCTCCATGCCACACATTGATGCTCGAGCACAGGATGCTCTCCACTGCACACCTGCAGAAGGAGGTGAGGACTGAGCTTCCCAGACCAGCTCGCCTCAGCCGTCTGAGGAAGTAGAGTCTCTGATGAGCTTTCTTGATCAGGCTGGTGGTGTTGTTGCTCCAGCTGAGGTTGTCATTCATGTGTACACCCAAGTACTTGTAGCTGGAGACCACTTCCACCGCAGATCCTCTTATATTCAGGGGGGTGTAGGTGTTTTTGTTCCTTCTGAAGTCCACAATCATCTCCTTTGTCTTCTTCACATTGATGTGAAGGTTATTCTCTCTGCACCAGCTCTCCAGGTGTTCCACCTCTTGCCTGTAGCTGGACTCATCATTGTTTGTGATGCATCCCACCACCGCTGTATCATCTGCAAACTTTACAATGTGACAGCCTGGATGGGTAGCTGCACAATCATATGTGAGCAGAATAAACAGGAGGGGGCTCAACACACATCCCTGAGGAGAGCCAGTGCTGAGGGTTATGGTGTAGGAGGAGAGGTTGTGGATCCTCACTAACTGTGGTCTGTTTGTTAAAAAGTCTAGTACCCAGTTGCAGATGGAGGGGCTTAGTCCTAGTGTGGATAGTTTGTCCATCAGGGTTTGGGGGATCATGGTGTTGAAGGCGGATGTGAAGTCCACAAAGAGCATACAGACGTAAGAGTTTTTCTGCTCCAGGTGGTTGAGTGCAGTGTGGACCACAGAGGAGATTGCATCCTCTGTTGATCGGTTCTCATGGTATGCGTACTGATGAGGGTCCTCGTTGATGTTGATGGTTGTTTTGATGTGAGTCATGACCAGTTTTTCAAAGCATTTAGCGACTATCGGGGTGAGGGCCACTGGCCGATAGTCATTCAGACCAGTCACTGTAGAGCTTTTTGGGACTGGGATGATGGTGGCAGTCTTCAGGCAGGTGGGAACTGTCTCCAGGGTAAGTGAGGTGTTAAAGATGTCTGCCAGCACCTCACAGAGCCGATCAGCACATTCCCCCAACACCCCTCCGGGGATGTCGTCTGGGCCAGCCGCCTTGTGCGGATCAATCCTCCTGAAGGTACTCCCTACTTCTGCCGAGGTCACGCCGAGACGCTCCTCATCCGGCGGCGAGGCGAGTCCGGTGCTGGGTGGTCTGTTCGGGCCTTCAAAGCGCGCACAGAACCCGTCGAGGGCATCAGGCAGAGATGGGTCTCCGGGGCATTGTTCACTCCCTCCTCTATAATCCGTTATGCACTCAATGCCCCTCCACATGCTCCGAGGGTCCCGTGAGATGAATTGACCCCCGATCCTCTCCGCATATGTGGCCCTGGCCCTCCTAACACCAGCAACCAGCTCTTTTCTTGTCCTACTCAGCTCCTCTGAGTTTCCAGACCTGAAGGCAGTGTGCCCGGCCTCCAGCAGGGTACGCACCTCCGCACCCAGCCAAGGTCCTCTGTTTGGGTAGCTTTTAACATCTCTGATAGAGGAGACGGTGTCAGTACATGCACTAATGTAACCCAGAACTGAGGATGTGCATTGGTCAAGATCAAGCGAACCTCCATTTTCAGCAGCCTCTCTGAAAACCCGCCAGTCCGTTCGAAAGAATGAAAGACTACAATGATAAAGTTATGACACTCCTTAATGACTTAACAGTTCATTAGTTGTTGAAAAGAGACCCGGGAAGTGGTTACGAGAAGAAGTTGATAGTGTCTGAAACATTTGTAGCAGGACAAGGCCATTACAACCACTCTTACCTTTTGTGAGTCCATAGCCATGTTTAAAACAGGCACTTCGTTGTGAAACAGAGAGTACTGAGAGATGATGAAGACCTCATCGCTGGTGTGAAGAACTTTGAGAACTTTTCCTTGTTCTGTAGAAATACAAATGGAAAGACATTAGAAATTGTGCATAAGGTTGGATCAAAGGTTTGCATTTAAATAGCACAAAATCAAGTTTAATGTTTAGTTTTGTAGTTTTGTGTGTGGCATACATACATACATAGATATATACAGTATATATATATATTTTGTGTGTGTGTTGTTGTTTTTATTTTGTTTTGTTTTTCTAACTCACACACGGACCACCGAGCTGCTGCCTGGGGGAGCAGATGGGGGTTAAGAGCCTTGCTCCAAAATGTTTCATTTTAGCATCTGAATAAGACGATTAAATAATTTCACACATGCACTGCAGACCTGACCTTATGTGAGAATGCAAAGTTCCATATTAGTTATTTTTCCAATAATACATTTTAATCTACAGGACATATGGCATATTCAATAAAAACAAAAATACATATACCTTCTGTCAGAAATATTGTGTTTTATATGATGTTTCATTTAATATAAAAGTCCAGATTGCTGTTTAATGCTCAAATAATCTTAAACAGCAGCAAAACTTCATTCATTCTTTTTTCCTTTGTTTTGGATGTTAGTATGTAGTCACTTTGTTGGTTTTATAATTATTAATGTTTTTTTTAAGTTGATGTTTTTAGGAGAAAAATCAACAGCATAGACAGAAAATGAGAGGTTCTCTGCATCTTTGAAGTGTCATCTTATTTAGACTGCCGCCAAAAATAACCTCCTTTTGGTCTAATTTCCTTTTTTAAATCTCTGTAGACCTTTAACATGCTAAAAAAAAAAAAAAAAAAACTGTTACTTGAAGATATTTTTTAACCAGACTTGATCCCACCAGTTTCATGCTGCAAAGTTTGTTTCATTTTTTTTAGATCCAATGTTTTTTTTTTTTTTTTTTTTTTAAAGAACAACATTTTAGACATGAGTGTGAGACGTAGCATTAAAAAAAAGAAAAATAAATATTCAAGGTGAAAAACAAAAAGTACTCTGTATAAAACAAAAGATCAACGGAAAGAGCCATTTTGTGCCACATGTTCGTATCATCAAACAAATTCCAGGAACAGCAGGAGATGGAAATCTTTAAAAGCATTTTAGAGATTTTTTTATTTTTTTATTTGAGTATTTCATTTGGGTTCAAATCAGCCTCCAGCAGCATCTTAAGTTTCCACTCATGTACTCTTCCTCACTCATAAAGCATTAGAAAAAAAGGTGTTCAAGACTTTTTGGGCTTTATTACAAATTAATAAACTACAGCAGCATTTCATTACAAAATCTCTCTTTTAAAATATTTGGTAAACATTAAAACATCTTTAACTTATTCAGACAAGCCTTTGGAAGATAACTCAAATAATACACTTTTTAGCAGTGGGAATTAGTGATTAATTAGTTTCTACTTGGATTTCACTCTTTGATGCATTACTCAAGAAAAACAGTCCAGTGAACACAAGCTTATTTAATTTATTTCCACTCCTTTGTAGAATGACTGCATTGATTCTGTTTGGTCAATGATATATGTTTTTTTATTTTTGCGTTTTTGCATTTCCCACACAAAGCATTGATTTTTTGGAGTCCCATAAAAGAGGATGTGACTATTAAGCTTTGCTCAAACCATCATCCAGCTGAAAACCAACTATGTCTTATGGATTAGTCTGTTTTGTAAACTGAGATACTCAACTTTCCAAGTAAATGAACATAAAACCTGCTGCTGCTTTCACTCTGTCAGCCAATAGTGGACACAGCCTCAGTTTGAAAGATGAGTCATTATTCAAGCTGTGTGCCGTCACTCTTTCTTCAAGAACAGATTGTGCCACTATCAAAGAGCCTCAGCCAACAACAGTTTACAAAAACTCACTTTCGGCAGATTTGTATTTCCTTGAATGCTTTAGAACTTGTTTTTGGACTGATGGGTGGATGGATGAATGGATGAGTGGATGGATGGATGAACAAACTTCATTATCCCCAGCGTGAAAAGTTAATTTACTGCAACAACAGACGAAATTAAAAACAATTTAATGAAAAGTTTGCAGTGAAAAACGTGCAAAAAAAAAAAAAACAATTACAGGTTAAAAATAAGACTTTTGTGCAAACCATGAATAAAACTGCAAGTAATTACTTCAGCTGTGCAAAATATGTCTGGAACTGAGAAAAATACATTAAAAAAAAAAAACTAACTACAGCAAAAGAGCTCCAACCATTTGCTGCATCATGCAATAAAGGACCTTAGCTTAAAGAAGTCCATTCATTCTTGTCTTGTTTGATGTTGAGCCCCCAGTCCAGACTGCTATTGAAGTTAACATCCAGATATTTACAGTCTCTGCCTCCACTGAAACCTCAAGTCACATTTAAAGCAAATGTTTTACTAACACCACCCCCAACATTTTGTTCTCCTGAACAATATTTTAATTGTCCCGTTGCTGAGCAAAAAAGGGGAATTATAAATCCCCTCGGTCTGCATCCACCCAACCAGGTTGTGAGCACGATAACTTGAAAAACAAGTGTGTTATGAAGGTATAAGAAATGTGACTTTTGAAAATTGTGTTGCTACATTGAAAATCCAAGATGGCCAACACAATCTGTAAACCAGCCACCCCCTATCTATGCTTTCTAGTTTTCAAATTGCTTAAAAGTATAGTTTCCTCAAATGATTGAGGTTGCCGAAAATTAATCTATGGGACATGAATTGGCAACCCCCCCCCCCACCCCTAATTGCTCCTTTGCACGTAACGATCCGTCACTCTGTGCCACCTCTGACAAGAAAAAAACACACACAGTTCCCAGCGTGAACGTGTGATTACAGAGATAACGTTTATCTTAAGTTTCCATCGTCTGAATGTCCCCTCTGCAGCTTCTTGCTGTCACTTGTTTTCATTTGTCCTCAAACTGCTCGTCTCTTATTCACACGCTTCTTCTTTCTCCTCTGTTGTCAAAGATAGCATTCACCGTTCTGTCTAGATTATTCTCATATGTTTCATTAATCTGTTCTGTTGCTATTTTCAGCTCTTTCATCAAAACACAGTTTCAGCATAATGTAAAAAAAAAAAAATGCTGCTCTTATGGGACATTGCTGAGTGAATCTGTTTTTTTAGCTATATTTATCCAGGCAAAAGTTGCTGAGGGAACATATTCTCTCTCAGTCAAGATCATCCTTACCAGCTCTTTACACGCGTACAATCACATAAACTAAAAATAAAAAATAATGTCAGAAGAATTGGGGGACAAAAAGTCAACGTGCAGTGTTAAACTTCATATTTTTGCTAACAAGAGCCTTCTTTTTATCTCTACTGTAATTTACTGACTCAGCCTCGTTGTGTTCCTCTCTTACCTTCAAACCAGAGTCTCGGTGTGTGAAAAGAAAAATGCTCCTGATCTCAAACAGTAGCTTGAAGCAGATGTATGGGTCTGACATTCAGTCCATCCCTGCGGGAAGTTTTCTGCTGCACAACCACAGAACTGAAAAACAAGCAACTTTACACTTGTGTTTTTTTTATTTTTTGTTGATGTTTTTTTTCAGTAGTTTCTTCCCCCTCCAAATGACTATTGATAAATTTACTAACCGTTACAGTTTTTTCTGCTGGCAGTCAAAACATTTAAGGTCTCCTTCTATATCATTTTACTTAAAGAGGCTTTTTAGGGCTCACTGGGAGGCATTTCTGTGCTACAGAGCAAACAGCTAAATCTTTGCTTCTTATTGCTTTGTCTGCTCACACTCAACAGATTAAAGCTCCGTTTGGAAAAATCTGGAATGTACAGATATTAGTTAGAATTTGTAATAGCAGGGACCATGCAACGACAAAATTGGATGGGCGATTGCTTCAATATAAAGGCACGGCTGTAACACGTCTGGCTGAAAGCCTTTGAATTATTTTTTCCACACCCAGGCACAAGAAGATAACTAATCTAATCACCAGCATATAATAAATGTTATATTTATCTTGAGAAATGCCACAATCCCAAATGCCATCTCCTTCTACAGGTGTGCAGTGGAGAGCATCCTGTGCTCCAGCATCGACGTGTGGCACGGAGGCTGCACAGCTGCAGAAAGAAAAGCTTTGCAGAGAGTGGTGAAGGCTGCACAGAAGATGTTGGAGTCAGTCTCCCCACCATCACAGACATCTACACCTCCAGATGCAGGAAGAGGGCCACCTGCATCATGAAGGACCCCACTCACCCAGCACACACACTTTCTGCCCCGCTCCCCTCAGGAAGGAGGCTGAGGAGCATTAAGTGTAGAACCACTAAACTGAGGAACAGCTTCTACCATGAAGCTGTTAGACTCATGAATCTCTAACCAGGATAATAACTGTGAAAAATCACATCATGTTGCTGCTGATCTGTTTCATGCTGCTGTGTTCATTCGTACTCATCTGCTCACACAGACTCATGTTCGTGCTGCTGTTCGACGTATCATTTTTATGCTACTAGTGTTTAACGTATTTTGATTTTAACGTTTTTCTTAGTTCATATATTAGATCTTATTGCTGGTTTTCTTCTATATCTTAGGCTTTGTTGGAAGTAACTGGGACTCTGTGTACACAATTTTGTTCCACCACATGTACCACATGTGGTGTGAATGACAAAGAAACTTTGACTTTGACAATGATCAAAGAACTCTATTTCACATGAAGTTGGAGTGTGCAGAACATTTTATTGTATTTATTTTTAATGAAGCAAACCAGAACATCACAAAACTTCACACATTTATTACTCAGGTATTTATTATTTGCCGTATTTTGCATACACCTTAATCTAAATGTCAAATCCTACTATAACAATAATCTTCTTCGCTAACACGCTTTGTTAATAATTGGCTTTGCCCATTAAAAACACTGCAGCTGAACATTAAACATGATTTGCTGAATTGTTTAGAAATCATTTTACTATAGTTCCTCAGGGTTACTTGTAGTATCTGAAAAGCAGCTGTAAAATTAATCTATTTGTCTCTGTGCTGGTACAGTCTAAACACAGCTATAGGTCAACATTTATATATAAAAATATTTATAGGGCAACATTTTAAACG